AAAATGGAAAGCAAGCATAATATAATTATTATTATTTTATAATAAAAAGGGAAGCGCTAAGCCACAAGGGCTATACAGCAAGCATAATATAAGAGGGGCTGGAGACGTGACCCCTCAAGGAAGATTCCTTGATGTTGGTGAGGGGCTCTTGATTTAGGGAATTGGATCTGTGCTCCAGTTCCCCGAATTAAGCCTGAATGCCTTCCACATCCCCTTCCCCCAGGCGCTGTATAATCCTCCGGGTTTAGCGCTTCCCCCTTGATTATAATAATAATAATGTAGACGTGACTAAGGAACAGGGGAAATGTTTTTTTAGTGCCATGAATGTCTACATTGTTTATTCTGGACCCTATTTTGAAATTGACAATTTTTGAATTTTGCGTGAAATTGGCCAAATTACTGATTTCTGATCACTTCATTGAGTAGTTGAAATAGATAAATGGGTGGCTTCTTGTACTCAATCAATAGAAGAAATACTAGTAAAATAGCAATCAGTTTGGTCAACGGGAACAATGGAGTTGCCAAAAATTGGGCACAAAGTGAGCAAAATTGCCAATGCATAAATATCACAGACAGCTAACTTTGCAGGATCGTAATTCTGTAAGTTTTCCATCAAATTTTGTACTTTTGGTTTCATTACCTTGTGAAAAAGATTCTCTACCATTTCATAAGAAAATTTTTTTTTTTTTTTAAATTTTGCGACCCTAAGACCAAGTCTGAGAGCACGGGTCACAACTTTGAAAGGGTTTAAAGAACTGCTTTGTTTTATTTACAAAAGTACTAGAACAGCTTGGTTGGTCACAGCTTTAATCGTATACTGTTTCTAACAAACTTTACCATCATCATCAACTTGTTACTTTCATGACCAATTCAAAGTCAATATTATTGAAATCATAATCCCACAGCATGTAAAGCTATTTGAAGTCTAATTTTTAGCATTTCACAATCCATATCTATACCTTTTTCAGGTTTGACCACAGGAAAGGGAGGGGTAACTCCAAATTCCTTGGATTGAGAGATCTCAAGCCCTAGCATCAAGGCATACTCCTTAAGTATTAAATTTATATAAAGCACTAAATCTGTCAAGGTAACACAACACCTGGAGAACTGGCAAGTAATAAGGTTTGATCCAAAAGAAAACACAGTTTCACTTTGTCAGATCAAGAGTCCATCACCAAGAAGTAAGGAACTCTCGTAGAGGAGTAAATTTAGCTAAAACCTACCAGACTTCTATTTCATTAACCTAAATTTAGCAGTTATTTTTCATCATCATTGAAACAATTTCAAAAGATTAAGACTGATATTTGCTGTAGAGTTATAGCAACAATGAATTTTCACTGGACTTGTTTGGACAAATGATCGTTGTTGTATAAGCAAAGATTGCAAATTCCTGAATAGAAAAGTATGACATATAACAAACAAGAGTAGTGTTAAGTGAAGGCAGCAGCTTAACTGACTACACACTGTACACTTATTAAAAATTATACCTTGTCAATTTGCAAACCAGAATTTTCCTAATTAATTTTTTTTTTTAACACATCGGCTGATTCCCACCAAGGCAGGGTGGCGCGAGAAAGAATAACTTTCATCATTCACTCCATCACTGTCTTGCCAGAGGGCTGGTTTACACTAGTTATAATAATGCAACATTAACATCCTCCTTCAGAGTGCAGACACTGTACTTCCCATCTCCAGGACTCAAGTCCGGCCTGCTGGTTTCCCTGAATCCCTTCATAAATGTTACTTTGTTCACACTCCAACAGCACGTCAAGTATTAAAAACCATTTGACTCCATTCACTCATCAAGTATGCTCATGCATGCTTGCTGGAAGTCCAAACCCCTCGCACACAAAACCTCCTTTACCCCCTCCCTCCAACCCTTTCTAGGCCGACCCCTACCCCACCTTCCCTCCACTACAGATTTATATACTCTCAAAGTCATTCTGTTTTGTTACATTCTCCCTACATGTCCGAACCACCTCAACAACCCCTCCTCAGCCCTCTGGATAATAGTTTTGGTAATCCCACACCTTCTCCTAATTTCCAAACTACGAATTTTCTGTATTACTGTATTACTAAATCTGTATGGGCTATACAGCACCTACGGAATGAGAGGTAACCAGGTTTGATCCAATTCCTTGAATCAAGAGCCCCATCACCTACATCAAGATGCTCTTTTAAAGGGTCTAATATAGATCATAGCAGGTTACATCACATTATTATTTATAACTAAGTCCATACTGTGGAGCATGTGCAAGACCAAATAATTTTTACATTCAAAAGAAAGCACCAAACCCAAAGGTACCTATGTACTGCACCTGAGGAATATGAAGTAATCAGGTTTGATCCAATAATATTTTTATTTATTATCACACTGGCTGATTCCCACCAAGGCAGGGTGGCCCGAAAAAGAAAAACTTTCACCATCATTCACTCCATCACTGTCTTGCCAGAAGGGTGCTTTACACTACAGTTTTTAAACTGCAACATTAACACCCCTCCTTCAGAGTGCAGGCACTGTACTTCCCATCTCCAGGACTCAAGCCCAGCCTGCCGGTTTCCCTGAACCCCTTCATAAATGTTACTTTGCTCACACTCCAACAGCATGTCAAGTATTAAAAACCATTTGTCTCCATTCACTCCTATCAAACACGCTCACGCATGCCTGCTGGAAGTCCAAGCCCCTCGCACACAAAACCTCCTTTACCCCCTCTCTCCAACCTTTCCTAGGCCGACCCCTACCCCGCCTTCCTTCCACTACAGACCGATACACTCTTGAAGTCATTCTGTTTCGCTCCATTCTCTCTACATGTCCGAACCACCTCAACAACCCTTCCTCAGCCCTCTGGACAACAGTTTTGGTAATCCCGCACCTCCTCCTAACTCCAAACTACGAATTCTCTGCTTATATTCACACCACACATTGCCCTCAGAACATGACATCTCCACTGCTCCAGCCTTCTCCTCACTGCAACATTCATCACCCATGCTTCACACCCATATAAGAGCGTTGGTAAAACTATACTCTCATACATTCCCCTCTTTGCCTCCAAGGACAAAGTTCTTTGTCTCCACAGACTCCTAAGTGCACCACTCACTCTTTTCCCCTCATCAATTCTATGATTCACCTCATCTTTCATAGACCCATCCGCTGACACGTCCACTCCCAATATCTGAATACATTTACCTCCTCCATACTCTCTCCCTCCAATCTGATATTCAATCTTTCATCACCTAATCTTTTTTGTTTATCCTCATAACCTTACTCTTTCCTGTATTCACCTTTAATTTTCTTCTTTTGCACACCCTACCAAATTCATCCACCAATCTCTGCAACTTCTCTTCAGAATCTCCCAAGAGCACAGTGTCATCAGCAAAGAGCAGCTGTGACAACTCCCACTTTGTGTGTGATTCTTTATCTTTTAACTCCACGCCTCTTGCCAAGACCCTCGCATTTACTTCTCTTACAACCCCATCTATAAATATATTAAACAACCACGGTGACATCACACATCCTTGTCTAAGGCCTACTTTTACTGGGAAATAATTTCCCTCTTTCCTACATACTCTAACTTGAGCCTCACTATCCTCGTAAAAACTATAATCAAACTAAGCCTAAATCTGTAAGGGTCAGGTCTGATCCATGAAATAAGCATTAAACAGTAAACAACAAAGGCTCCTCAAATTGATCAAATTCAAAATTGTGACTGGCATGAAGACTGAAGGTGTGGGCAGTTAAAAAGTGCTCATAACCATAGTATTATGGTTATGGTTCAGGCTGCAAAAAGGTTCATTAAAAAAGTTCCATAAGAATCAGCTTTTACATTTTACTAAGAAAACATCAGGTTATTAATGAAGTTTATTATTAAATTTCCACAAATGCTATTATTTATCATGTTTTAGAGGAATGTAATCATCACAGGTACCAGCTTAAACACTCACTCAAACTGAATTTAAATAATACAGAATTTATATGCACAGACAAATAAATGAAAAAATTATTACAGTACAATTATTACACAAGTTAATTTTTATTGTGAAAATATTGTGTGACTAAGTACTAATTGCTACAGTAAACAACAATGTGTAACAGAAGTGCATTTTAACCAAACCCAAATAAAATAGTGCTGAACATTTAGTATTATTAAAAAGATTAATTGAACCTTGCTTCAAATTACCAGTCTGGTATAATATACTCTGTCATCTTTTACACTAGTACATTTTAAAGAAACTGAAAATATATTTAATCAGCATAAATCCCAAACCAATGTGAATCTCGAAATGAGTAACATGACACAATATTTTATCTTAAACAAGAAGATAAGTTTACTCTCTGAAATAAAATACATGAATTTTTAAAATTCGCATTTAATTACAGTTACAAAAAAAATATAATGTACAAAATCCTGGAGTTACATTACAAGAGTCACTACAACTCTATATGGCTGTGATCTGTGCTCTCGTCTCCGTTAGTCTCCTCCGGTTTGGTACATACTGCTGGACTGGTTAAAAGGAATAAGTATTCGCATCGATTTGGTTCAGAAACACCTATAAGCTTCGTTTCAGTCCCACAGGATATTTGAACCTGAAATTATGATAATTTGATACATCATATGCAACAAAAGATAATCAATAATTATAAACAAGAAACATAAAAGTGAACAGTGATTAGCAAACTACTTGTGATATTTCATATATGAAACATTACAAAAAAGAAAATTCCATTAGAAACCATAAAAAACATATATAGGATACTCCATTCACAGCTACTTAATGAATCAATATTTCATGTTTATTTGAGGGTCACCCTACCTAAGTGGGCGATGGCTGGTGGGGTAAAAAAAAAAAAAAAAAAAAAAGAAGTGTGATACAGTAATCACTGATATGAATAAATCAAACAGGCCAGATTATGAGAATTTTTTTTTATTAACACATCAACCATTTTCCACTGAGGCAGGGTGACCTGAAAAAGAAGAAACATTTTCATCATTCACTCCACTGTCTTGCCAGAGGCATACCTACACTAATTTAAAAAAAAAATGCAACTTTTCAACAACCCTTCCTTCAGAGTGCAGGCGCTATACTTCCCACCTTCAGGATTCAAGTCTGGTTAACCGCTTTCCCTGAATCCCTTCATAAATGTTGCTTTGCTCACACTCCAACAGCATGTAAGGTCATAAAACCCCTTGTCTCCACTTGCTCCTATCTGACACATTAACTGACTCTTGCTTGAAGTCCAAGCAGCTCGCACACAAAACCTCCTTTACCCCCTTCCTCCAACCTTTCCTAGAACAACTCCTACCTGCCTTCCTTCCACTATAGATTTATACACCTTTTAAATCATTCTATTGTGTTCCAGCCTCTCTAAATGTCCGAACCACCTCAACAACCCCTCCTCAGCCCTCTGGATAATACTTAAGAACATAAGAAAGGAGGAACACTGCAGTAGGCCTGTTGGCCCATACTGGGCAGGTCCTTCACAAATCCAACCCACTAACAGAATACTTGCCCAACCCACTTTAGTGCTACCCTAACAATAAGCTCTGATAAATCCACTAGCTCGTGTGCATGTTCCACTCAAATTCAACCTTTCTCACTCGTATATTTATCCAACCTAAACTTGAAATTACCCAAGGTTTTAGCCTCAATCACCCTACTAGGCAGATTGTTCCACTCATCAATCCCCTATTTCCAATCCAATATTTTCCTATATCCGTTGTAAATCTAAACTAATTTGAATGCATCATTGCAGGCTCTCTCTTGGAGGGACATCTTCAAGACACTATATTCTTTTTTTCAACACACCGGCTGTATCCCACTGAGGCAGGGTGGCCCAAAAGGAAAAATGAAAGTTATTTTTTTTTTTTCAACAAGTCGGCCGTCTCCCACCGAGGCAAGGTGACCCAAAAAAGAAAGAAAATCCCCAAAAAGAAAATACTTTCATCATCATTCAACACTTTCACCACACTCATACATTATCACTGCTTTTGCAGAGGTGCTCAGAATACAACAGTTTAGAAGCATATACGTATAAAGATACACAACATATCCCTCCAAACTGCCAATATCCCAAACCCCTCCTTTAAAGTGCAGGCATTGTACTTCCCATTTCCAGGACTCAAGTCCGACTATATGAAAATAACCGGTTTCCCTGAATCCCTTCACTAAATATTACCCTGCTCACACTCCAACAGATCGTCAGGTCCAAGTATCATTTGTCTCCATTCACTCCTATCTAACACGCTCATGCACGCTTGCTGGAAGTCCAAGCCCCCTTGCCCACAAAACCTCCTTTACCCCTCTTTCCAACCCTTTCGAGGACGACCCCTACCCTCCTTCCTTCCCCTATAGATTTATATGCTTTCATGCCATTCTACTTTGATCCATTCTCTCTAAATGACCAAACCACCTCAACAACCCCTCTTCTGCCCTCTGACTAATGCTTTTATAAACTCAACACCTTCTCCTAATTTCCACACTCCGAATTTTCTGCATAATATTTACACCACACATTGCCCTTAGACAGGACATCTCCACTGCCTCCAACCGTCTCCTCGCTGCTGCATTTACCACCCAAGCTTCACATCCATATAAGAGTGTTGGTACTACTATACTTTCATACATTCCCTTCTTTGCCTCCATAGATAACGTTTTTTGACTCCACATATACCTCAACGCACCACTCGCCTTTTTTTCCCTCATCAATTCCATGATTAACCTCATCCTTCATAAATCCATCCGCCAACATGTCAACTCCCAAGTATCTGAAAACATTCACTTCTTCATACTCCTCCTCCCCAATTTGATATTCAAATTTTTCTTTATCTAAATCATTTGATACCCTCATCACCTTACTCTTTTCTATGTTCACTTTCAACTTTCTACCTTTACACACATTCCCAAACTCATCCACTAACCTTTGCAATTTTTCTTTAGATTCTCCCATAAGCACAGTATCATCAGCAAAAAGTAACTGTGTCAGTTCCCATTTTGAATTTGATTCCCCATAATTTAATCCCACCCCTCTCCCGAACACCCTAGCATTTACTTATTTTACAACCCCATCTATAAATATATTAAACAACCATGGTGACATTACACATCCCTGTCTAAGACCTACTTTTACCGGGAAGTACTATTCTCCCTCTCTTCTACATACCCTAACCTGAGCCTCACTATCCACATAAAAGCTCTTTAAAGCATTTATTAACTTACCACCTATTCCATATACTTGCAACATCTGCCACATTGCTCCTCTATCCACTCTATCATATGCCTTTTCTAAATCCATAAATGCAATAAAAACTTCCCTACCTTTATCTAAATACTGTTCACATATATGCTTCAATGTAAACACTTGATCTACACATCCCCTACCCACTCTGAAGCCTCCCTGCTCATCCGCAATCCTACATTCTGTCTCACCTCTAATTCTTTCAATTATAACCCTACCGTACACTTTTCCTGGTATACTCAATAAACTTATTCTTCTATAATTTTTACCATCTCTTTTGTCCCCTTTCCCTTTATATAAAGGGACTATACATGCTCTCCGCCAATCCCTAGGTACCTTCCCCTCTTTCATACATTTATTAAACAAAAGTACCAACCACTCCAACACTATATCCCCCCCTGCTTTTAACATTTCTGTCATGATCCCATCAGTTCCAGCTGCTTTACCCCCTTTCATTCTACATAATGCCTCATGTACCTCCACCACACTTACATTTTGCTCTTCTTCACTCCTAAAAGATGGTATACCTCCCTGGCCAGTGCATGAAATACCGCCTCCCTTTCTTCCTCAACATTTAAAAGTTCCTCAAAATATTCTCGCCATCTACCTAATACCTCCCTCTCCCCATCTACTAACTCCCCTACTCTGTTTTTAACTGACAAATCCATACTTTCCCTAGGCTTTCTTAACTTAACTCACTCCAAAATTTTTTCTTATTTTCATTAAAATTTCTGGACAGTGCCTCTCCCACTCTTTCATCTGCTCTCCTTTTGCACTCTCTCACCACTCTCTTCACCTTTCTTTTACTCTCCATATACTCTGCTCTTCTCATAACACTTCTGCTTTGTAAAAACCTCTCGTAAGCTACCTTTTTCTCTTTTATCACACCCTTTACTTCATCATTCCACCAATCACTCCTCTTTCCTCCTGCCCCCACCCTCCTATAACCACAAACTTCTGCCCCACATTCTAATACTGCATTTTTAAAACTATTCCAACCCTCTTCAACCCCCCCACTACTCATCTTTGCACTAGCCCACCTTTCTGCCAATAGTCGCTTATATCTCGCCCGAACTTCCTCCTCCCTTAGTTTATACACTTTCACCTCCCTCTTACTTGTTGTTGCCACCTTTTACATTTAGTAATTTATGCAGGAGAAGGGATTACTAGCCCCTTGCTCCTGGCATTTTAGTCGCCTCTTACAACATGCATGGCTTATGGAGGAAGAATTCTGTTCCACTTCCCCATGGAGGTAAGAGGAAATAAACAACAAGAACAAGAACTAGAAAGAAAATAGAAGAAAACTCAGGTGGGTGTGTATATATATGCTTGTACATGTATGTGTAGTGTGACTTAAGTGTAAGTAGAAGTAGCAAGATGTATCTGAAATCTTGCATGTGTATGAGACAGAAAAAAAAGACACCAGCAATCCTACCATCGTGTAAAACAATTACAGGCTTTCGTTTTACACTCGCTTGGCAGGATGGTAGTACCTCCCTGAGTACTACCGTCCTACTACCTACACTACCAACCTACTACCTACACTATTTATATACCCTTTATTAATACCCATCTTCCACTTCTACACTTCGATCATGTCTGCCCTCATTCTTCGTCTTACAAGTGAATGAATTTAAGGGACTTCAATCTTTCTTCATACGAAAGATTTCTAATGCTATGAATTAATTTTGTCATTCTTCGCTGAATGTTTTCTAACAAATTTATATCCTCTCTGTAATATGGAAACCAGAATTGAGCTGTATAATCTAGGTGAGGACCTATTAATGATATATAAAGCTGTATTATAACAGCTGGACTTCTGTTGCTTACACTTCTTGATATAAAACCCAGTAATCTATTTGCCTTATTATATATGCTTAGGCATTGTGTCTTGGTTTAAGGTTACTGCTCACTGTAACCCCAAAGTCCTTTTCGCATTCTGTACGGCTAAGTTCTACATTATTAAGCTGATAGGTGCTAGGGTTATGAACATTCTCGAGCTTTAGAACTTTGCATTTATCTACAATGAACTGCATCTGCCACTTTTCTGACTCCCAAACATAATATACGATATATAAAGCGGCCCAGAGCGATAAAATACACATAAAGTACACTTATTACTTAGCTTAAAATATGTGTAGTCTTAATGTAGGACAAGAGGTGAGTAGTATTTATTTGTAGGTTAGGTGTACATAGCTGGTAGGTGTAGCTATGTAGCCCATCTGAGCTACATAGCTACACCTACCTACATAGCTATACAATATTTAAAGCAGCCCAGTGATATTATTACCATCGATATACCTTGTTCACTGAGTTTAATAATTTCTAACAAGTACCTTTAGATGCTATCACAAACAAAGGGAGAAGTAATGAGAAGTCATGCTGAGAATTGTAAACAAAGCTGAATGCGTTATGGGGAGTCACTGGGTCAAAGGCGGATCGATACACATTTTCTCTGGTGCTGGACCAAAGAAATCGGAATTTTTTTCCTCCTCCTGGCTACCACACCTCATATTTATGTGAAATTTATTGTACTGTGGGTGTGTGTATCATGTGTATATGCTATGTAACCTGTTTCTTATAAAATTTTGAAGAAAATATCATAGGGGTAAAGGAGGTTTTGTGGGCGAGGGGCTTGGACTTCCAGCAAGCGTGCATGAGCGTGTTAGATAGGAGTGAATGGAGGCGAATGGTATTTGGGACCTGACCAGCTGTTGGAGTGTGAGCAGGGTAATATTTAGTGAAGGGATTCAGGAAAACCGGTTATTTTTATATAGCCAGACTTGAGTCCTGGAAATGGGAAGGACAATGCCTGCACTTTAAAGGAGGGGTTTGGAATATTGGCAGTTTGGAGGGATATGTTGTGTATCTTTATATGTATATACTTCTAAACTGTTGTATTCTGAGCACCTCTGCAAAAACAGTGATAATGTGTGAGTGTGGTGAAAGTGTTGAATGATGATGAAAGTATTTTCTTTTTGGGGATTTTCTTTCTTTTTTGAGTCACCCTGCCTCGGTGGGAGACGGCTGACTTGTTAAAAAAAAAAAAAAAAAAAAGAAACATAAAATATGCAATAGCTTTAAAACCCTTGAAATTTTGGAAAATTTCCATTCATAATGGAGAGACGTGCTCACAGAGAATGCAAACAAACCAAGTCGCATGCAGTGACTATATTAGAAAGTCAGGTGGGGGGAACCATATAGCAAGTTTTGGTCATAATTTGAAGTGTCCATATTAGCGAAACGCTGTAAAGCGGGGCCTTACTGTATATCTCCTTTTGAGGTTCTGTAGTGACTTATTCTACATCAAACCAATCTAGAGATTAAACCTGCCTTAGGATACTGCTATTCAAATGGGTTAAGTCAAAAAGTAGTAGTATAATGCAGTAGGTTTGCCTAAAGTAATCTGACTATACTGTAATCAGGTAAACTGTGGTTTAACCAAATAAAAGGCAGTAATATACATAAAATTCATGTTCTAAGTTTTATACACTAACTGCAAACAATTTGACTCACATCAGCAGATCTAGTAGGCCCATTCCAACAGGCCTGACCATTGCTATATAACATTCTGCTGTATTTGTATTCTTCTGGTCCCGTCCACTCGCCCCACTGACCAAGCCGTGTTTCACCATGACCAGATTTGGGTTTCTGGATTGCCTGTAATTAATAAATAACAACAATTTGATACAAGTTATGATAAATTCTTAAGGATATGCAAAAATTACAAACTGATGAGCTAAATTCCATATTTATAAGTATCCTCATAACTTTGCTAAGAAGAAAATACTACGAAATTTAATAAACCATCAACACACCTTATCAAACGGACAAAGTCTGTAGGTGTATTCTCTATCTGTATATTCAAAGCAGTTTCCTTCAAGAACCCTAAATTCTTCCTCTGGCCCATAGTCTTTTTCTTGAGATTCTTCCAGTGATTTCAATTCCCTGGCCAAATCTCTGACGTGCCTGTCTGCTTCATCAAACTGTTCACGAGCTTCATTAGCCACTGTTTGAGAAAAAAAAGTGTGTGAATACACCACATATCAGTATTAAGGAAATGAAATATTATATTCACAAAAAATACTTAAACCCTAAGGGTTACTCAATGCTACACAGCAGAAGAAAAGAAAAAAAAATGGTAGACGGGGAGAGATAGAGGTGTTGAGGGAAGGACAGTGAAGAAAGTGAGGAAGGGAAAGGAAGGGGAGACAGGGAAAAGGGGGAAAAAGATTCAAAGTTGATGTAATAATTTTTTTTTTTTTTTTTTTTCAACAAGTCGGCCGTCTCCCACCGAGGCAGGGTGACCCAAAAAAGAAAGAAAATCCCCAAAAAGAAAATACTTTCATCATCATTCAACACTTTCACCACACTCGCACATTATCACTGTTTTTGCAGAGGTGCTCAGAATACAACAGTCTAGAAGCATACACATATAAAGATACACAACATATCCCTCCAAACTGCCAATATCCCAAACCCCTCCTTTAAAGTGCAGGCATTGTACTTCCCATTTCCAGGACTCAAGTCCGACTATATGAAAATAACCGGTTTCCCTGAATCCCTTCACTAAATATTACCCTGCTCACACTCCAACAGATCGTCAGGTCCCAAGTACTATTCGTCTCCATTCACTCCTATCTAACACGCTCACGCACGCTTGCTGGAAGTCCAAGCCCCTTGCCCACAAAACCTCCTTTACCCCCTCTCTCCAACCCTTTCGAGGACGACCCCTACCCCGCCTTCCTACCCCTATAGATTTATATGCTTTCCATGTCATTCTACTTTGATCCATTCTCTCTAAATGACCAAACCACCTCAACAACCCCTCTTCTGCCCTCTGACTAATACTTTTATTAACTCCACACCTTCTCCTAATTTCCACACTCCGAATTTTCTGCATAATATTTACACCACACACTGCCCTTAAACAGGACATCTCCACTGCCTCCAACCGTCTCCTCGCTGCTGCATTTACCACCCAAGCTTCACACCCATATAAGAGTGTTGGTACTACTATACTTTCATACATTCCCTTCTTTGCCTCCATAGATAACGTTTTTTGACTCCACATATACCTCAACGCACCACTCACCTTTTTTCCTTCATCAATTCTATGATTAACCTCATCCTTCATAAATCCATCCGCCAACACGTCAACTCCCAAGTATCTGAAAACATTCACTTCTTCCATACTCCTCCTCCCCAATTTGATATCCAATTTTTCTTTATCTAAATCATTTGATACCCTCATCACCTTACTCTTTTCTATGTTCATTTTCAACTAAAGAAACTAAAGAAAATGAAATGTTATAAATGATAACTACAAACATTTCTGTTTATATAACATTATCTAAACTCAGGTCTGCAGTGACTAAGGTACAACCAATGAACAGAAATAATTCTTTAAATAAACACTACATTAATTACTGTCATAAAATCTGACCATCAACAAGTTTCTGGGTTTCATCGTCATATTTAGGGCCGTCTTCCTCTTCCTTCTGTTCTCCTTCCTTGGCATCATCGTGGTCATCTTCAGAATTGTCATACTCTTCACTATCTTCATCCTCACTTTCATCCTAATCAACATCAGTAATATATTAGCAAATTTGTACATGCACTTTTAAGAAAATGTTATCATAAACCAAAGAGGTACAGTAGTTTAATCTTAACCATAAAGTAAAATATTTGTTCCTGAAAATATATACATGTAGTTGTAAATTGATTGTAAAATTCTATGAGAAACAGCATGGCACCACAACAGCTGTGGTAAGAGTTAGTGTGCTACATTTGTAATCAATCAACTATCCTAGTGTTATGAAAGCAGTACATCACAGGACATCAAAAACACTTCAACCCCTACAACAGGGATTGAAGTAAATTCTCAGTGTATATAGACTAAGAGATACACACCCTGATGTACAATATATTTCAAGTACAGGAGGACCCTGCCTTACAGTGGTACACTTTACAGCATTTCGCTAATGCAGTGGTTTTCAATTACGGTGCACCCCCCGTGAATTCGCAGTTCCGAATTTACGGCTTCAGTAATTCATGAATTTTTCCTTGCAACCGAAATAATAATTGTTTGCTGAAATCTCCACAAATTCACAGAATTTTTTTTGGCTTTTTTGTGGCAACATATAATTTTTTGTGTTTTAACAGTAAATATCAAGAAAAATATAATTTAAATTATTACCGTATATTTAAGGAGGGGTGTTAATGTTGCAGTTTAAAAACTGAAGTGTAAAGCACCCTTCTGGCAAGACAGTGATGGAGTTTTTCTTTTTCGGGCCACCCTGCCTTGGTGGGAATCGGCCAGTGTGATAATAAATAATAAATATTTATTGTATGTACAGTATACCAAAGAAAACAAAGTTGCATGAATTACAGTACAGTACTGTATATGGGTTGATCTTTACATTCTTTTTTTTTTTTTTTTAAGGGTGATGTATGAAGCTGAGTTTGAAATTAAATTGTAGTGTTTTGGGGAATATTTAGGGTTTAACCCTTTCGGCTTACACATCAGGGTTTTTGACGTACTACTACACCTAAATTCTAGTGCCCTCAAATCTAGTGAGAGAAAACTGGTAGGTCTACATATGAAAGAATGGGTCTATGCGGTCAGTGTGCGCAGTATAAAAAAACTCCTGCAGCACACAGTGTGTAATGAGAAAAAAAAAACTTTGACCGTGTTTTTGGATTAAAACAGCAAATCTGCACTGTATTTTCGTATGGTATTTATTGTTGTATTCTAGTTTTCCTGGTCTCATTTTATAGAATGGAAGACATACTACAGAAATTGAGATGATTTTGACTGGTTTTACAATGAAAAGTACCTTGAAATTGAGCTCAAAGTAACAGAAATGTTTGATTTTTACCAAAGTTCAAAAGTAAACATATCATGCTAAGCGTCCAATAAATGGGTGGTTTCTTGTACTCGTTCGATAGAAAAAAATGGAATTCTAGCAAAATAGTTATGATTTTTGTCGACTAGTACACTGGAATTGGCCGAAAATAGGGCTCAAAGTGGGCAAAATCGTCGATGCGTAAACATCTCCGAGACCTCTAACTTCGCGAGAGCATAATTCCGTACGTTTTCCATCAAATTCCATACTTTTGATGTCATTATGATCAGGAAAAGATTCTCTATCTTTTCATAAGAAAAAAAAAATTTTTTTTTTGGAAATTTGGGTGACATTGAGAACAAGTCTGGGAGAGGGCCTGGAGACCTTGAAAGGGTTAAACTATAGAAATATGCATTTTTTCAACCACATCTAGAATTTGCGGGTGGTCTTGGAACATAACCCCCGGAAATTTGGGGGGACTACTATATACCCATTCCTCATTTATTTCCACTTCGTATAATAAATATATTCACCACTCGCTATAAGCTAAGGATGAAAATATTTCAAGATAAGTAATGTGTCCTAGGTAGACAGCAACCTCCCAGGGAGGTATCTACCGTCTTGCGAAGTGAGTGTAAAACGAAAGCCTGTAATTGTTTTACATGATGGTAGAATTGCTGGTGTCCTTTTTTCTGTCTCATGAACATGCAATATTTCAGGAACCGTCTTGATACTTCTACTTGCACTCAGGTCACACTACACATACATGTACAAGCATATATATACACACCCCTCTGGGTTTTCTTCTATTTTCTTTCTAATTCTTATTCTTGTTTATCTCCTCTTATCTCCATGGGAAAGTGGAACAGAATTCTTCCTTGGTAAGCCATGTGTGTTGTAAGAGGCGACTAAAATCCCAGGAGCAAGGGACTAGTAACCCCTTCTCCTGTACAGATTACTTTTGTTTTTCTTTTTGGGCCACCCTGCCTTGGTGGGATACGGCCGCTTTGTTGAAAAAAAGAAAAAGTAATGTGTGTACTGTATATGTATTTTTAGGCCTAGTTATATAGCTTACTTAATCTATGATAGTGTAAAAATGCTATCAGGCTTTTATATGCATTTGAAAGCAATTTTTGCTATACAGCAATAGCCCAGAACCTAACCTGCTGTATAAGCAGGGCCCACCTGTATACACACGCTAAAAGATACTACTCTGTGTATACTGTACCCTGTTATCTGCTCTAGGTTAAAGAAAGCCTTCTAGTGTTAATATATAGTTTGGAGCTCCTTAACCTGTTACAATATAGGAGAAATGATTTAATAAAATTCAGGCCAAAAAGAGAGCCTATAAAAAAAAAAAAAACAGAATAGGCAGGGCTCAAATTCATGGCAAGTGATTTGTAAAACTCCAGGTCAGTATGTAAGCCAGTGGGCCAGCTGGCCCACTGGCTTACGTACTGACCTGGAGTTTTACGACTCACTTGCCATTAGTTCAAGCCCCACCCGCGTCGTGGTTTGTTTGCAATTTTATTACAATTTCATGAGTCAGGAGCCTATAAAACAAAAACATTTGTTTATAACACTTCATGAAATGTGCTTCCAAATTTTCTATGCAGCCTGAGTACTACATTTACATTCCAGCTGTGAATAAATAACCTTAACACTTTAACTAGACATAACAGAAATAATTAATTGTTGGAGAACTAGGAGCATCGAGTAGGTAGACATAAATCATAATGGTCACAAATGAAATTTTGCATATCATAATTTATGCAGTAATTGTGAATGAGTGATAAAAGATGCAAAAAACCACAAAGGGAGTTGACTGATAGCTTTAGGCCTTTTGTGTTGCAATCAGCACATCAGGAGCTTGCAATATTGCAGAATTAGAGTAGGAAACAAAACTGCCTGGATTTACTACTATAATTCTGCAACACTGCAAGCTTCTGATGTGTTGATTGCAACACAAAAGGCCTAGAGCTATCATTCAACTCCCCCTGTAGTTATTTTGCATATCATAATTTACATCAGGTAAGCAACTTGGCCCTGATGCTCTAAATTTAATCCCAGTCAAAAATATGTACTTTATGAATCGTATCATAGCAGTTTTTTGTGTTTAACCCTTTTGGGGTTTCGGCCGTACTAGTACGACTTATGCACCAGGGTTTTTGACGTACTAGTACGCATAAATTCTAGCGTCCTCAAATCTAGCAAGAGAAAGCTGGTAGGTCTACATATGAAAGAATGGGTCTATGTGGTCAGTGTGCACAGTATAAAAAAAATTCTGCAGCACACAGTGCGTAATGAAAAAAAAAAAACTTTGACCGTGTTTTTTGTTTAAAACAGCAACTTTGCACTGTATTTTCGTATGGTATTTATTGTTGTATTCTAGTTTTCCTGGTCTCATTGTATAGAATGGAGGACATATTACAGAAATTGAGATGATTTTGACTGGTTTTACAATGAAAAGTACCTTGAAATTGAGCTCAAAGTAACATAAATGTTCGATTTTTACCAAAGTTCAAAAGTAAACAGATCATGCTAAGCGTCCAATACACGCCAACTGGTGAGTCTAATATTCTTTCACAAGTGCGCTGATATTATTTATACCATTTCTACACTAATGCAGTAGTCTGCATAACAGTAAATCTTATTTTTTTTTGCGAGAATAAAAAATTAAGTGGAAAGCAAAAGAAATGTAAGAGGGGCCTAGGGACGTGACTAATGAACAGAGGAAATGTTATTTTAGTGCCAGGAATGTCTTTCTTGTTTATTCTGGATCCTATTTGGAAATTGGCATCTTTTGAAATTTGTGTGAAATTGGCAAAATTGCTAAATTCTGACCACTTTACTGGATAGCTGAAATCGGTAAATGGGTGGTTTCTTGTACTCGTTCGATAGAAAAAAACGGAGTTCTAGTGAAATAGTTATGATTTTTGTCTACTAGTACACTGGAATTGGCCGAAAATAGGGCTCAAATTGGGCAAAATCGCTGATGCGTAAACATCGTAGAGACCGCTAGCTTCGCAAGAGCATAATTCCGTAAGTTTTCCATCAAATTTCATACTTTTGGTGTCATTATGATTGGGAAAAGATTCTCTTATCTTTTCATAAGAAAATAATAATTTTTTTTTTTTTTAAATTTTGGCGACTCTGAGAGGGCCTGGCGACCCCAAAGGGTTAATAACATTATGGCAATCATAAGGGTAAGGATGCTATCCTGTGGAAACACAACACTGGTGTTACTGGGAAACAGAGTTGCAGATAGCAGTAGCAATCATACCAGTGGCATAGTAATTCTTATAATGATCAGCACTTCTGTGAAATTATACTTGCTTACCCAATATTATTAATTTCCAAAGATTGTAATCCTTATTAATTTGCATAATTCTTAAAATGTACAAAAAGTTCTTTTAACTAATAAATTTTCACAGCTCAAATGTAAACTGGTATTGCTAAAATTACTATTATTATCATTACATTACTAGAAGTAGAGCTAAACCGGCAGATATCATACAGCACCTGGGAAAAGGGAGGCAAACAGGTTCGATTCAAGAGGAGGAGGTTAAGTCTAATTTCTTGGCTTAAGAACCCCTACCTGTACCAGCATCAAAGAACCTACCTTCAGGGGATTACAAAGTAGAAATAGCTAGATGCTGTACAGTTTTGCTAACCTAAAAGACACCAGATTAATGAACATGCTTAGAAAATTTTTACATCACGAATGATATGTGCAACTTTCCTCAAGTGAAAGGATATTAACAACACATTACAAACACAAACAAGTTGTAAAGACAGCGATCATGCACCAAGCATCAGCCCCTCACCGACAAAAGGTCCCAGTTAGCTCTGGAGTTAACGTAGCGTGATATCTGCTTGACAATGATGGCAAGAAAAATTTGGAAAGGTTAGTATTTGTTGAGTAAAAACATTATATATTTATTAAGGCATCCTTTCATATTTTGAAAGCATTTTTTTTTTTTTTTTTTTTTTTTTTTTTTTTTTCTTGCCAACTTTTTATACCATCGAAATGGATTTCAAATTATTCTCCTGAAAAATTTTCTAATAAAAATTATTTATTGTATTAACACTTTACAATCAGTCAGTGAGATTATTTATTGTGAACAACAGATACTTAATGAGATTAACTTAAAGCTTGGAACGAAAAAACGCAAGTCAAGATATATAATTCCCTAACTGTTTTTTTTTTTCAATTTGCCATACGAGTCCTTTTCCCTTAATACAATAACATTTCTTTCCTGCTTTTAGTATTTCGAAACCTTCTTTTTTTCCAATCCTGCAAATACTGCCAAGCCAATTATAGGAGGAGAAAAGCCGCTGGGATAAATAAGATAAGAAATATCTTAAAGAAAAGCAGGAGAGGATATAATTGGAGAGTTTGGTGTATTTGCTTAAATACAGTGGAACCTGAGTTTCGAACACATCGACTATCGAATGTGCTGTGAGTTTTGACTGCTTTTTTTTTTTTTTTTTTATTTTTTTTTTTTTCTTTTTTTTTTGTTTTTTTTTTTTTTTTTTTTTTTTTTTTTTTTTTCGCACAATTTTGTCCCAAGTATGAAATGGTGGGCCAGTGTTTTCAAACCGCGTACTAGACCTGTCCATCCTGCCCTGTGCACCTCCCCGTGCAGGTGTCGTGAGTCAGTCCTGGCTTTGGTTTCTCGAGTGATAACAGTACATTATACAACTAGCATTAAAGTTAAAGTGCCCTAGAGCATAAGATCATATACAGAGTACCTCATTACTTACCATAAAATATTTGTAGTTCTTATAGAGGGTGTTAAGTGGAGTAAGGTAGGTGGGTAATCACCAGAGTGGGTTGGTATTAACCCCCATCAGGCCATGGCCACCCCCCACCCCACACATTAAATAGCAAGCATTTAAAAAAGTGCCCCCCCAGAACGATAAGATGCATAAACCAGTACAAACTCATTACTATCTTTAAAAAATCCCTGAAGACTTAATGGTCTTAATATAGGGTTTGCACAAGGTTGAGTAAGGTAGGTGGGTATTCAAAATGTGGTAGATATGTAAACCCCCAAGATTTGCGAGTTTTTTTGTAACCAAAAACCATTGTTGTTTGTTGATACACCTGGACACACGAATGGTTTTGGTTCACTTCCGTCAAGCCCGACTGGAAAACCATCTTATATTTTCTGTTAATTTATATGTTACGTAGCATGTTTTATTATTTTTTTTTTTTTTTAAAAAAAACAAGTCCGCTGTCCCTCCCACCTGGAGGCAGGGTGACCCAAAAAAGAAAGAAAATTTCCCCCAAAAAGAAATGCTTTCATCATCATTCAACACTTTCCAACACCACACTCACACATAATCACTGTTTAGCAGAGGTGCTCAGAATACAACAGTTTTTAGAAGCATATATGTTAAAGAGATACATAACATAATCCCTCCCAAATGCCAAATATCCCAACTCCCTCCTTAAAGAGTGCAGGCCATTGTACTTCCCATTTTCCAGGACTCCAAGTCCGACTAATAATGAAAATAAACCCGGTTTGCCTGAATTCCCTTCACCAAAAAATATTACCCTGCTCACCCGACTCCAACAGATCGTCAGGGGGAAGTCCCCAATTACCATTTCCGTCTCCATTCACATCCTAATTCTAACACACCCACGCACGCCTGCTGAAAGTCCCAAGCCCCTTGCCCACAAAACCTCCTTTATACACAAACCCCAAACCCCCTTCTCTTCCAACCTTTCGAGGACGACCCGCCTACCTCGCCTTCCTTTCCTCTCCCTATAGATTTTATATGCTTTTTCCATGTCATTCTACTTTGATTTCCATTCTCTCTAAATGACCAAACCACCTCAACAAAAACAAAAACCCCTCTTCTGCCCTCTGACTAATGCTTTATAAACTCAACACAACCTTCTCCAAATTTTCACAACGTCCCGAATTTTTCTGCATAATATTTAACACCACACATTGCCCTTTAGACAGGACATCTTCCACTGCCTCCAACCCATCTCCTCGCTGCGCTGCTTTACCACCCAAGCTTCATCACATCCACTTAAGAGTGTGGTACTACCATAACTGCATACATTCCTTTCTTTGCCTCCCATAGATCACGTTTTTTTTTTTTTGACTCCACATATACCTCAACGCCACCACTCACCTCTTTTTTTTTTTTTTTTTTTCTTTTTTTTTTCCCTCATCAAATTCTATGATTAACCCTTCAACCTTCATAATCCATCCAGCCGACAACGTCAACTCCCAAGTATCTGAAAACATTTCACTTCTTCCATACTCTCCTCCTCCCCAATTTGATATCCACTTTTTCATTTATCTAAATCATTTGACACCTCATCAACCTTACTCTTTCTTTTCTATGTTCACTTTCCAACTTGTCTCTACCTTTAACACAACCATTCTCAACATCAATCCACTAAAAAACCTTTTGCCAATTTTTTCTTTTAGACTCTCCATAGCACAGTATCACAGCAAAAAGTAAACTGGTGGGTCATTTCCCATTTTTTGAATTGATTTCCCCATAATTTAATCCCAACCCTCTTCCCGTACACCCTAGTATTTACATATTTTACAACCCCATCTATAAATATATAAACAACCCTTGTTTGACATTCACATAAACCTGTCTAAGACCTACTTTTAATTATATTACCGGGGAGTAGTCCTCCCTCTCTTCCGTACACACCACTAACCTGAGCTCACAATCCTCATAAAAACTCTTTAACACAGCATTTAGTAAACTTAAACCACCTATTCCTATATAATACCTTGCAACATTCTGCCACATTCTCCTTCTATCCACTCTATCATATGCCCTTTTTTTTCTAAATCCATAAATATGCAATAAAACTTTTCCCTACCTTTATCTAAATACTGTTCACATATATTGCTTCAATGTAAACACTTGATCGACACAAATCCCCTACCCCACTCCTGAAACCTCCCTTGCTCATTACCGGAATCCCTACATTCTGTCTTACCACCTAATTCTTTCAATTATATAACCCTAACCGTAAACTACACTATTTTCCCCTGGTATACTCAATAAACCTTATTCCTCTATAATTTTTAACCATCCCTCCTTGGTCCGCTTTTCACCCTTTATTATAAAGGGAACTATAACATGCCTCCCCTCCCCCCCCCCGGCCAATCCTCTAGGTACCTTTCCCCCCCTCTTTCATACATTTTTAAACAAAAGTAACCAAACCACATCCAACACTATATCCCCCCCTGACTTTTAGACATTTCTGTCATGCTCCCATCAGTTCCAGCTGCTTTAAAATAATAATTAAATTAACATAAATTAATTAAAAAAAAAAAAAAACCCAAAAAAAATAAATTAACAATTATATAAAACTTTAAAAAAACTTAACAAATTAAATAATTACATAAAAAACCTCAGCCTTTTCATTCTCAACGTAATGCCTCGCGTACCTCCCACCAGCACTTACATTCCTGCTCATTCTTCCACTCCTAAAAGATGGTATACCTCCCTGACCAGTTGCATGAAATTAAACCGCCTCCCTTTTCTTCCTCCAACATTTAAAAGTTCCTCAAATATTCTCCACCTCTCCGCCATCTACCTAATTACTCTCCCTCTCCCCATGCTACAAACTCCTCCCCTACTCCTGTTTTTAATTGACAAATCCATACTTTTCCCCTAGCTTTCTCCTTAACTTGTTTATCTCAACTCCAAATTTCTTTTTTTTCCCCCTTATTTCATTAAAATTTCTTTGACAGTAGTTGCCCTCTCCCACTCTATCCATCCTTGCTCTCCTCTCTTTTTGGCACTCTCTCACCACTCTCTTTACCTTTTCTCTTTACTCTCCATAATACTTTACGTTTCTTATAACACTTCTGCCTTGTAAAAACTCCTCATAAGCTAATTTTTTCTCTTTATTATCACACAACCCTTGTACTTCATTCATTCCACCAACACTTTTCCTCTTTTCTCCACCTGCCCCCACCCTCCCTATAACCACAAACTTTCTGCCCCACTTCTAATAATACTGCATGTTTAAAAACTATTCTTCTCAACCCACTTCAACACAAAAAACGCCCCCCCCGACTACTCACTTTTGGCACTAGCCCACCTTTCTGCCAACAACTCTCTTATATCTCCCCCGAACTTTCCTTTCCCCTTCCTCCCTAGTTTTAGATTACACTTTCACCTTCCTCTTTTCCCATCTACCTCTTACTCTAACTGTAGCTACAACTAAATAAATGATCCGATGTATCAAGTTTGCGCCACCCTCTATAAACATGTACATCCTGGAGCCCTACCCATCATCCTTTTAACACACCAAAACATAATCTAACAAACTACTTTTCATTACGTGGCTTCATCATACCTTGTATATTTATATTATCCTCTTTTTCATAAAATATACCCGTATTACTTATACACCAAATCCTCTCTCTACAACAATAGCTCAATTAAAGGCTCTCCCCATTTACATTACAAATTACCCTGGCACCCCCAAAATTACCTACTACTTTCTACTACTTTTCTACTACTCCCTCCATAACATTTTTATAAATACCCACTTTAGGCATTGAAATCCCCCCAACCACCATTTAACTCCCAACACTTTGTATTCAAAGCTCCTCATGCATTCACCTCAACATTTTTCCAAAATCCTCTCTTTCCCCCCCTCCTCTACACTTCTTTTCTTTCTTCCCTTGCATACCACGCTTATCTATTAACAACTTTTCACATCCAAATCTTTATTTTTAACTCCACATAATCCAGTCTTGAATTAATATATTATGTAGTCCCCTCTTTTCCTGCCATAGCTTATATATCCTTCAACATTATTACTAAACTAACTCCTTCTTAGCTCTAAACTCCCTATTTGAAACCC